GGCCGAAAACGAGATGCGGCGACGCATGATGATGGAGAGCGCCCGTGATCTAGAGGTAGACCTCGGAAATGTCGGGATCGATGATCAGCCCGAGGTTTGTATCCACGCTGTTCATCCCCCAAGACCTCCCACTAACTCCTTTTAGCCCGTCGACGAGTTCGAGGAAGAGCAGCAGGAGTTCGACTGGTCAAGGTGTCGGCACGACCAGATGTTCGTCTTTCAAGAGAACGAGCTAGAGCGCATCCTAGACATCATTATCACCAACATGACCCCTCAGCGGTCGCCTTCCCAGAAACCGGTGCCCGCAAATATGATCTTTTTAGGCGCCAGATACGCGCATTATCACTCCAGCCCAGAGCTACTGGCAAAGTTACTCATTACCGCCATGGATAAAATTAACGACGTTGTGGAAAGGTATCAGTGGGACATGACTATCCTCGCTTTTTGGATATCGAACGCGACTCTGCTACTTCATTATCTCAAGAAGGATGCCGGCCTTGTCGAGGCAACGACCGAGTTTCAGGCACAGCTTGCCGAGCTCGTCAATGAAATATTTATCCTCATCGTGAGGGATGCCGAGCGCCGGCTCGACAAAGTTCTGGATGCTGCCATGCTGGATCACGAAACAATACCGGGATTTGAGGATATCACATTCCAAAACGAGTGGAAACTCTTCAAGCGAAAAAAGGAGGTCAAGGAACAGCCGTTGGAGAAGCGATTCCGGCCGCCTTCGCCCAAGCAGAGAGCAAAACCGTCGCCACGCAATGTCACATCCCTCCTATCATCAACGCTCTTTGTACTCGACCTTTACGATATCCACTCGGTAATCACGTCACAAATCATTTCGCAGCTGATGTACTGGCTTAGCGCCGAGCTTTTCAACCGCATCATGTCAAGCCGCAAATATTTGGCCCGTACGAAGGCGATGCAAATCCGTATGAACATATCGACGCTTGAGGACTGGGCACGCCAGAACAACCGGCAGCCGGAACACTACGAAGGAGGGGAGACCAAGACAAGTGGCGAGCACACAGTCGATGCGGCGCGCCGCCACCTAGCACCCGTCATCCAACTGCTGCAGTGGCTGCAGTGCTTCTCGTCGCTTGGTGCCGACGACCTCGAGGCGCTTGTCGGCACACTCCAACAACTCAAGGCGCTCAGCCCCCAGCAGATGATCCACTCGGCGACACACTACCGACCCGAGGTAGGCGAGAAGGGCCTACCCAAAAGCGCCATGAAGTATCTGGTGGCGATACAGAAGGAGGCTGCGCTCAGGAGAGAAAGGAATAGGCAACAGGCTGGTCTGGGGTCACCAAAGGCCAAATCAGGCGGTGACAGCATGCCGGTGACACCGGCGAAGAAGACGGCCAATGGAGGAAACGAACTAGGGACGGAGACTCCGCAAAGCGCGCAAGGTACGCCGAGGATCGGCACCGAGGAGTCAGACGATGAGGACGAGGCGCCAGCGAACCTACTGCTAGACCCGGCGCTGATGCTGCCATTTACACTACCGAGCGTGACGGATATGTTGGTGAGCTACGGGGCCGGCTTCGGTGGGGTCAATCGGGAGAGGGAGCGCAAGTATATACCGACAATCCCGCCCGAGTTTTTGGACAAGATCGAGGCGACGGCTGGGGGCCACGGTGGCGGGGGTAGGAAGGGGCCGATGTTTGGGGAGAAGGATTGGGAGAATGAAGAGGTTTGAGGGGTTGTTGTTGTGGCTGGGGATGTAGATGCCTGCCGTGCCATTTTCCCGTGCGCTCTGGATGGGCGTGGTCGTTTCTCGGTAGGATAGATAAACACTTGTGGGTAGGTGTGGCAACCAAGGCTGGCGGGAGCAGGTCAGAAACGACCCAACATACCGCTGTATGCGGGCTGCGAGAAAGCGAAGGTTCACTAGATGATCTGACCGAGTCTGGCAGATATGGCATGCCAGGGTAGCGCCTACCAATTACACTAAAGAAATGGGATACGGGACGGAGGGTTGGGATGCATAGCGCAAAATGTATTGTAGCGTAATTACCATCTAGGCTTTGCCTTCCTAACTATCAATAGATTCGGGTAACATGGGGCACGAATTATGTTGCTGTTTACCTATCCAAGCGTTTCCAGCACAACACATCTACGGTGTCACGGCACCCCATGTTTCCACCCGTGTCTGATTATGGGGTTACCAGGGTCAGTAGTTGAACCGGGACCATAAAGGTATCACGACAACAACTCATCCAAATATTCAGAAGCTTTGTTGTGTAATCAAATCAAGAGGAGACAGAACTATCAGATAATACATCACTTTGTATTGATTACCTGTGTAAGGCTGTAAAATAAGATAAGAATTGGACGATCCAAACAGCGATTGAATGACCACAATAAGGCAGCCACCACTAAGGGAGGTAGTTCCTTCCTTCAACTGCTAAATACATACACCCACCTACTTTTTCATATGTTATGAAGCAAGAAGTCGTTGGGGACTTGATGGCTTAACCGGGAAAGAGCCGGCTCTACGAAGTACCCTGGCTCGACCCGGGAAGCTGCGACAAATTATTCCGGTGATTGATTTTCTACCAACCTTGCGTAGGTAGTCATGTTGGCGGAGAGCACCTCTGGTCACTTTCTCGCAAAAGGGCCGTGGCCACCATATTTATTGCCATTCAAAACCGTCAGGCCGAACCAGGGCTACACCACTACATCTCGCTGCCTACACGATGCGTATCGCAGTGCTGCGCGTGTTTCCCGACATTAGGGGTTATGACATGTATGCAGCCATCGACAAAAAATGGACGACACTTCACTTTGTTAGTCATGGACTACAACGCTTCCATGGAACATATTGCACCGCTTACAAGTTCGAGGATCCCGCACTAATAGCGGACTTACTCATCAGCCGTGGTGCTACTATCGGGGCTGAAGATATGTGTGGGATGGCAGAATTGCACGTAGTAGCGGACACGCGCTCCTTAGTTCTCTGGGCTGAGACTGGACGTGTTTCCGGGCCCGAGGCGGACATGGAGGCGAGGGACAACTGGGGTCGAGCATCCCTTTTCTGGGCAGCGGCAGGCGGGGATCGCCGTATTGTGGCATTCCTCCTCCGTTGCGGCGCAGAATCCCCGCAAAATGGATGGAAACCACACGTGCCCTAATAATAAGCTGGAACAACTAAGGAAGCACGTGGACAGTTGGCGGTCTCTTCCCCATGACCGCCATGGCATGAAAAATTGCCGCCCAGGGAGATGTTGTACCTGGTGTTCGAAATGGCAGCCCATATGCTGGCCGTGATGGTGCCCTCACTTTCAGCCAAGTCAGCTTGGTGGATCTACCCTGCGGCGATAACCAATTTGAGCAGCGAGGGGTTTCTCGGATGACTCGGAGGTCTTGGAGAGAACGGCACAGGCTAAGTCGGCAGCCCTACTCTCCGCTGCTCAGCAAGGGCACGAGGGTGTGGCGAGGCTCCTCTTGGAAGCTAGAGCCACCCTGGACAGCCGCATCATGTTGTAAGAGGCACTACGAAAGGTTCGTAGCCGTGTTATCGAACTACTGCTGGACCGGAACCCGGACTTTGTCAGATAAAGAGGAGTCTCGGCAGCACGCTACCATTTGCTGATTCAAACGGACACCTCGAAGCTGTACATCCACTTCTGAGCCGCGGAGCTAATATAAAATTAGCTGGCTGTCGCAGCTCTGTTTTGCATCAGGCTGTCCTGTCCGGGTCCAGGGAAGATGTGGAGCGGCTTCTGATGTGGAAAGCGAATATGAATGGCATCTGCAACCGATGTAGGCGAACACCCCTCGGTCACGCTCTTGATCACAGCGCGGAGCCTGATAAGGTCCTTTTGCTTCTGGGATACCGGGCGGATCCAAAACCCTCGGGAATTCGAGACGAGGACCGAAGTTATCAGACATTGCCAGCATGGACATTGCGGTCGTGGGCCATGAGTGGTGGTCCAAGTCACGTCTTGAAATTACTGCCACCAGAACGAGGGTGCTTTGACCCCTATGGGATGGATGGACAGGTGCTGTTGGCGTGGGCGAATGAGAAGCAGCATCAGGATGTGGTTGATTGCTTGAAGAATGCGGGTGTTGAGGTCATCGCGTCCCTCGTTGACTGACCCTGTCGCGGAAGATATGCAAAACTGGAAGTTATCCCGGCCGCATGTGGGCATAAGCTGGTCATATTTCGCCGCGCAAGATCGAAGTTTTGAACCTTGGTAGGACCTACCAAGGGACTCTGGTTAAGGGTAAAATGTTGAAGGATAAGTATAACAAAGGGAAGGCTGCCTTTTATTTCTTAGCAGACCATCACAGGGATAAAGAGACCCTTCAACAAGATGCCGAATACTAATGTCTCGAATCTCACTATGGCAAGAAGACACTACTCGACCACGACCTGAACCCCAATAAGCGGGGCGGCTCGAGGGCAGGACGAGCTGGGAGGGCGCAGTGTTGTGGCATTATCGGATCTTTGTGGAGGATGGAGGGCGGAGATATTGAGTCGATTAGTGAGCGCTGGACGACGGCGGCGACTAGGGCGGCATTAATGCTCAAGGAAGCGTGGGAGGAGTGAGGAGGTCCGGGGTTTTCTTGGCTACACTTGGAGTTGTTCTTGGAGTACAGATCTGAAGATTAGTCCGCACCGGGAGGGCTTGGTCACATTCGCCTGCTGTGACGGCGGGATAATTGCCTTGGTTTGCACTACCCATTGTGAGTTGCTACTAGTCGCAGTAAAGCGAACCATGAACCTCACACCTAGTCAGTGCAGTGTTCGACTTTTTACATTTTTAGGCCTGCTTGCTATTACAAGGTGCACGAGTAATGTGTAAAAAGGGGTATGCGCTTCGTGGCGACCCCCTGCGCTATGAGATATCGGAATTGGTCAGGAGAAAAAAGGTGGAAAGAAAGACGGAAAAAAAAACTAACAACTCTACAACATAGCAGGCGACAAACATTTTCACTTGATATTGTGAGTAAGAATGGGAAGTAATGAGCAAAAGTATGAACTCAGATGCCCCCACACGGGATTGAACCGTGGACCTCATCATGCCAGGAGTGGATTCCTACGAGTGATGCGCTCTACCACTGAGCTATACGGGCGTGGGAATTAATAAGAAGTCTTCAGTCTATTTGGAGTAATGAAGGGTGGAAACCCTTTCGAGGTTTTCTTGTTTCGTTTGCTAACTCCCGACGTCGATGGCAACCCGGAGCGGGATCGGTAGGGTGTCGGTGGAGTCAAAAATGGATATGGATGGGTGGGCATTGGGTTCATGAGGGTTGCTGACCCCTGAATTGGCTCCATATGAACACACCTCCAGCATATGACGGGGGCCGCAAACGAGCGAGTGATGGAAGTCCCGTTGATGAACTGCATGGTCAGAGAGCAGAGGCGCAAAGCCGAGCAGTACTCTTTCCCTTTTTTCCCTCCATCCCCCATCACCTCTTCGGTAGGCGAACCTGTGATTCACCCATCCTGCCTGCCAGCCTGGCAAGGTTGGAAAGGGTACCTGCAGATAAACCGATGGCACATGCATTGGCGAGAAAGGGGGGATTGGCTCAATGAGAAAATAATGTCGGCCGTTGCGAAAACTCTTTCTTGCAGGCTTGTAGCTAGAGGCGATGTCGTGGCAGCCGCTCTTTGTAAGACACGCATTGAACGGGGTTGCCAAGCATCGTCGTCCAGGTCCAATATGAGCCCTAGCAGCTAATCGCCGGGCAACTGGTTGGCCTTGGCCAATTGTTGGCCGAGCAAACGTGGTAATTAAAAACCGACAGGGAACGGACGATATGACAACAAACTCTAGAACAGTGATGGTTAGATAGCCTCCCCTAGATATTGCTTCATTTCTCGTTACCTGGCGAGGCCCTTGGTGTTTCCTGGGAGCTAACTCTGGAGACTTGCTCTGGATGTCGGTGCACCCGAAAAGAGCCCGAGAGGGCCAGATACCGACAGACGCGGGACACAGACCTGGATCGGGACTTTTTTTTTTTTTTTTTTTTTTTTTTTTTTTTTTTGGAGCTGGACCCTCGCCTAAAGAGGTCGGCAGCGGCATGGCGGCGGGATGGGTAGCTCCTCTTGCTCCTTTGCGGGGGAGGTTTTTGGTGGGAAACGATAGGAATGGCTGATGTGCTGGCTAAATTGCCACGTCAGATATTAACCCCAATCACTCAGTTCATGCCCTTTGTCCAATGCGGACTCTCGCCTCCGTTTTCGCTCCGTGTGATGGCGCGCAGAGCACGCGTGTTGACCGACATTGTTCGCTTGGGCTGCGGGTGCCCGCCTGAGCGAATGCGCTTGTCCTTGCACTGCTCTTCTTCACTCGCTTTGTGTTGGGGATGGGTGGGTTGAAGGGCGGGGCGGGAGATGGTGTGTATCTCTTTGCTCTCCTAGGCGCCATGATGTTTTCTTTCCATGGAGAGCACATTCGAGTCAGAGTCGCGTTGAGGGGTCGATAATCCATAGCTTGGAAAGCTAGATTGCGCAAGGGAGCCATCAAAGGGAGGGAGGAAGGGAAGATTGGTGGGGGCGAGATTGGCTTACACGGGACGGGACGAGGAACGGTGTGAGTGGCCAGTGACTGTAAATCTGACCGAGATAGGCAAGTAGAAGTACCTGGCTTCTTCTCTGTCAGTGCGGCTTCATGCGCCCCCAGAACCGCCTTGATCGAGCCCAATCCAGGTTTAATGGAGGTGCTTTTAAGAATCCGCTGTCTCAGTTCCGCTGTCTCAGTTGCGAGCATGCCATTCAATGGGCTGCAGTGGTTTGCATGAGCGCCGCACTCAATACATTGGACGTCTCTCAACTTGTGGCAAACGGGAGGATGCGGGCCTGCAGTCCCGCAGCCAGAATAGACATCGCAGCTTTGATTACCTGCAGCTAGCTGGGTGTCTGGATGCCAGTCATGGCAGTCAAGCAAACGACCGGGGTGGGGCAGCCGCCGTTCACCACCTGCTACTCACCGCATCAATGGAGGAAACAGGTGAACAAAGAGGGAGAATGAAAAAAGGAAAATCTTGATTGACAGCAGATGGCGGCCTGCAGTAGCTGCAGTAGCGAACTGCAGTTGGCTGGTTGTAGCTACATACCTCGGCCACCTGGCGGGCGGCGCCTAGCAGTCATCATCCATCCCTCTCGCGAGCTGTTTGCCGAACCGGACAGGGTCCATGTGGAAAGCGTGAACGATAGCATCACTCTTGAGGAAGGCGGCCCCCCGCAGGCCACCACGATAATACTAATTGACCGTCTCTCCCTCCCCTCCTACTGTCCTCCATTCCGTCCTACCCACCCTCACTCACTACGCCCGAACCTACGAATACACGAGCCCCTCAACCCTCGAACCCACCTGCTTCCCCCCCTCGACTCACCTGCCGCGTCTACACTTGGACAAAGCCTACGCCCCCTAGAACAACGCGCAGTGTGTACATGCAATAAAACCGGTGCTTCCTGGCCATATTTGGATAGCCGTGATCGCCCCTCCCTAGTTTTGCCCGCGTTGCCCCCGCTGGCTCCAACTACCTAGCCTTCCGCCACCCCTCGAGCAGGCAAATAGCAGTAATTCGAAGACGTCGACCTCCTTTGGGCACTGGGCACTGGGCACAGCAGCAAGAGAAGAGTCGACGGGCTGCTGCCGACACTGGGCAGGGGCACTCGGCACTCTCGCCCTATGGCGCCCCAGCGATTCCCGAGCGTGCGCCACAAGCCTACTATTGCCAGCAGGCCGGCAGTGCGACTCGCTGCGTTCCGAGACGACACGGGCCTGATCGCGCTCCGATACGAGCAGACAAAGCAAGCTGAGCCACCGATTCCACTGCCTCCTCGAAATCCCCTACGCCTGCGTACAACGACAACAGCAACAGCGCGCCCACCGCCCGTATCCGCACCCGCACGTACACCCGCACCGGCCGCCGTGCTTCCCATCACCATCGTGCCCCCGCCCGTTGCTCCGCCCCAGGAGCAGCATCCTCTCTTTCGCACCCAGCACGAGCCCCAGCCGCAGGCTGACGACTGGAAGCGCGACTCCGGGCTTGCCACTGTCTCGTCTTCGATCACGCTCCGCGAAGAGTACGACGAGGTCTCCTACACGTACCAGAAGATCCTCGACGACATTGCCGACGCGCCCTCGGTGTATCCTGTGGATGAACAGGTGGCCAGCTCTCCAGCCCCGAGCCTGCCAGCAACTACCGTGCCCCTGAGCAAATCCACAGTCTCGCACAGCCCTGCATCTCCGCCCCTGGCTCCATCGCCAACACCCACACGCGCAGCTTCGCTCACTAAGAAGCTAGGAAAGACTTTCAGCATCCGGTCGACAAGTGCAAGGCGTCTGAGAAAGAAGACGCTCAGCGAGGCTACCAACGCTGAGATTGATATAGATATCACCAAGGACAAGGCTGCATCGTCAGATGCGCAAGTCGTGACAATGCGGGACTCACCCTCCAACAGCAGCTCCAGCAGCAACAAGACGCCCCCACGGGCACGGTCCCCCAGCGCCAAGAAAGACGACGCCGCCAGGACATCCCAAACCATGGAATTGGATTTCACCCCCATTACAACCTCCATCCCGGAAGACAGTCTGTGGGACCAGTTCTCCGACCTGTCTTTTTCCAAGCGGGGAAGCATCATGTTTGGCGGCGAGTCTCCGCTCTCACAGTTCCCAATGACGAAACCCAGAGGGGGGTCCGCCACACCACTTGCCGATGAGCCAGCCACAGGTTCAAATGCGCCCGACACGGCATCAAACGCGCCCGTTGATACCGCTACTATCGCCGCCACCAGCACTACTGCCATTGCCGCAACCCTCCGCGTCGAGTCAGGAGCCACGACCGCCACCCCAAGTGATGCGACCACCGAAACGTCACCGGCGCCCGCACACGAAAACTCGCCGTCGGTACCTAGTATCCGTGTTGTCTCGATGGACGTAGAGAGGGAATCGCAAAAGGTGAGATCGCTCTATGAATCCGGCGATAGCCTGAGTTGGCAGGATGGGGGGCGCATCTCATTCTGCGAACGTCTTGAGCCTACAGAGGAGGTCCCATCAGACGAGGAAGAGAACGTCGTGTATGGTTTTCCTTTTGATGCTCCGAAATTGTCAAACTGTTGGGGCATAATGCTAACCTCATCTGCCCCTGTGACAGTTCGCCCCGTCGGCCAAATCCTCGTTCCGATATTCTGTCTACAAGCGACCTAAATCCCATGCATACGCCGCCTATCACTACGCCACGGTCGGTCAGCTCGTTATCACTTCGACGCGATAGCCAGGTTAGGAAGGACTATGAGCGCGCTGGCGGCCTGGAAGATTGGGAGGATGTCAACGGTGCCGACGTTGATCGATATGGGTTTATCAACCAGCGGAGGCCGGTATCCAGACCCGAGACTCCCGACCCGAGGCCACCGCCGTTTCCGGGTAAGAAGCGGAATGTTTTGACAAAACGACCCGGCTCAGCTTACTCGTCGCCGCCGCAAGGCTTGCGCCCACCCAGTAGGAAGGTCTCGGCGCGATCACTCAACACCTTCACGTCTGAGCTGTCGACCACGTCGAGACGATCCGCTCGGTCTTCAATACGGTCAGCGACAAACCGACTACCGCACAACCGGGACCGCAGATGGATGGACGAGGCCGGCGACATGCTTGCGCAACATCCCGGTCTCATGGATATCGACGAAGACGCCAAAGCAGGCAAGTCCGCCGAGGCGACAAAGCGCAAGGAGGCGGAACGGACTGAGAAGTGGCGCCGGATGGCTAAAGTCATCAAGAAAGGGGAAGACGGCCAAGGCATGGACTTCGAGTTTGATGCCCAAAATCCAAAGGTGATCGAGCGGACCTGGAAGGGCATCCCCGACTGTTGGCGCGCCGCCGCCTGGCACTCATTCCTTGTCGCAAGTGCCAAGACATGGAAGGGCACCGACGAGACGGACGAGCAGCTCATGGCCCAGTTCAGGCGGTTACAGGACGTCGCATCGTCGGACGATGTGCAGATTGACCTCGATGTGCCACGCACCATCAACGGCCACATCATGTTTCGCAAGCGTTACCGCGGCGGGCAGCGCTTGCTATTCCGGGTCCTGCATGCCATCTCGCTCTACTTTCCCGGGACCGGTTACG